TAGAGAAAACAAATTAGAAAAAAATATACCAAAATATTAATAGCACCTGTGTCTGGGTGACAGGCCCCTCCAGCTGACTTTGGTCTCATCTTCATTTTCTAAAGGTTTCCACTTGTTCTTTAAAACAACATATAATATCACTATTATAATGGAACTAAACACCTCTTTGTCTTTTGGTCTTTTTGAGACAGGGTCTCCTTGTAGTGGGGCTGGCTTGGAATTCACTATGCAGACCAGGCTGGTCTTGAACCCACAGAGATCCACCTGTCTCTGCCTCCCAACTGCTGGGATTAAAGGAGTGTGTCACCATGCCCAGCTCTCTTATTCTTTTAAGTAGAAAAAAATAATAAAGAAGATATACAACGAAAGGAAACAGTGGGTGGAGGGGAAGAGATACAAGGAACCAAAATCAAGAGAGAACACAATTTCGGGGAGCAGTCATGCAATTTGGACTTGAAAATTGCCAGGGAACAGATGGTAGTACCCAAGCAGACATCTGCGATGGATAGCAAAATCATATGCAAAGACACAAGTGGCCTTTGAAGCAAGCCCTTGAGAGGCCCAGCAGAGAAGGCTGCTTGCCTAACCAAACAGAAGGGCCAAACCCCTGTCCACCTTGTCAGAGTCTGGCCTGCAAGAGGCCTTGAGGCTGCAAAAGGGCTGGAAGGGGTACGGATGGGGTTGCAGATGAAGAAAGAGGTTCCTGCTAATGAAACTGGTGAACGCTGCAGCTAACATTTACATGGTACTTCACAGTTTGTAAATATTCACACACAGATAACTTAAATGTTAGTGTTGCATCATGTTTTATAATGTCCCTGTGAGGCAATTGTTATTCCTATCTTACCACGGAGGAATGAAGTATATAGAAGTGATGGGAATTTATTTGTGTAATATTTGTATAATGCTCACTAGCTGCCAAAACCTGTCCTGAGAGTTTTGCCTCTGTCCACAGGGCTAGAAGGAGACAGAATTGGGACACAAATCCAGCTTCTCTGACACTACAACACCACTCTTATATTGATGCTGAAGTAAAATTTATCTGTCTACACACTCCCAAGTAAAGCCACAAGTGGATCTATCTATCTATCTATCTATCTATCTATCTATCTATCTATCTATCTATCTATCTATCTATCTATATCTATCTTCTATTTATCTATCTATGATCATCTATCTATCTATCATCTATCTATCAATCTATCTATAATATCATCTCTATCTATCTATCTATCATCTATCTATCTATCTATCTATCTATCTATCTATCTATCTATCTATCATCTATCTTCCCATTAAGCCAGATCTATATTTATTTTTCCTGATTATAAATATAACAAATGACTGTTTAAAATATGCAGATATAGCTAACACTAAAGGCCTTTTGTAAAAGTCATGTGGAAACCTACTATATGTTTTCATTCTCTGTTATACAGGTATCAATATTTCCAACTAGGCACATATTGATAGACTCACAGACTTCAATTTATTAACAACAATTCTTAAATAAATATCCATGTATATCTGAGGGAGTGTTGAGAACATGGGGTCATTGAGTGCTTCACCCTAAAATGGACATCTGTGTCACCCTCTCCAAGTCCCAGGGAACATGGTGAGAGGGTAGAAGGCCTGTGGGAGGTGGAGGACAGGGAGAATTGAAGGTGAACTCTGTCTTCTGGATATAACATGGCCCATGCAATCATGAACACATAGCAGCTGCCAGTCACTGCCTGCACAAGACCTGTACACACACACACACACACACACACACACACACACACCAAAGGTACTGGAGAGATGGCTCAGCAGTCAAGAGCATTAGCTGCTCTTGCATAGGACTCGGATTTGGTTCTCAGCACCCACATGGCAGATAGCAACCATCTATAACTCCAGTTCCAGGGGTGTCTGACGCCCTCTTCTGACCCCTGTGAGCATTGCACAACACAGGTGCACTTACTTACATGCAGGCAATATACTCATACACATAAAATAAGAATAATGAATAAAACATTAGAAAAAGAAGGAAAGGAAGGGAGGAAAGAAAGAAGGAAAGGAAAGGCATGCGAGTAGAATTAGTTGGAAAGAAAAAGGGGATTGGTGGGAGTGGGAAAAGGTTGAGAGAGGGTACTGAGGGGTGAATGTGGTCACAGTACATTATACGCATGCATAAAACTGTCCAAAATAAAGAATGCAACAGCAACGACAATAGATCCTTGTACTTGCCGTTCTGCAAGTACCTCTCTGTATGTATGTATGTTTGTCTAGAACAGACTGATAGAAGTCGAATTACAAGGTCAAAAGTATCTGTACAATTATACAAAATAAAAATGGTCACAGACATTCACAAATTGCTCTTCAAAAATGCTACTGGCAGCACACAAGAATGAGTCATTTCCCCACAGGTTTGTCAATACTGGGTATTCTCAGCATTTAAAAATTTTACCAGTCTAGAGCAGGGAATTGTAGCACACACCTGTAATCCCAGCACTGGGGATGGGTGTGTGAAGACAGGAGGAGCATGAGTTTGAGGGTAGCCTGGGCTACATAGTGAGTTCCAGCACAGCTTGGCTATATACCAAGACCCTAACCTCAAAACCACCCCCATGTTTTTAAATCAGTCTGCTAGGCAAACTGGTATATCATTATTCATTTCATTTGTGTTTGAAAATAGTGAAATGGTATATTTTTATATTATTGGCCTTTTTCTGATTTTGTAGATTGGTCATTTTTTTCTTTGACAATGGGTTGTGTATTAGTGAATTGCAGAGATAAGAGGCCTTTGTAGACCACATGAGATATTGACACATTCCTTTTAAAGGACCAAGTAAGCCCTGGAGATTTATACCTACCATAAACCCCATTTTTAAATGTTGTATTTGACGTCATTTTGTTGAGCTGAACAGAAAAGCAATATTAGCCAACAATAACTGATACTTGGAATTCATGGTGATTATCATCTTGTGGGTTTAATGATTTATTAGCCACATGATGGTAAGATAATATAATCACACAAGCCAGGAACTTAAATAAACATTTGTTCATCTGTCATGAACTGCTCAGTAATAACTCTAGTGGGTAAATAGTAAGAGTTCCTGCATGTGGGTGTTGTATGTATATGTGTGTGCACATGCAAGTTTGAGAATGTCGGGGGGATGTGCATGGTCAGTCATGTACACATTGCTATGAAGGATGTTTAATAGAGGAGTGGAGAGAGAGAGATCATTGCATGCTCAGAGACTGTCTAGAGGCTCTCATTTGGATGTATCTCTCAGAAGCAGGAAATTGGTTACTTCCTGCCAGCCTTGGTAATGGGCTGTCATGGCCATCACTCTTTCAGAGTGTTGTCCTGGTAGTACCACCCTAAATTGGTGGAGATGGGTTAGAGTACCATTTTTCCATAAGGCCTTTTGGTTTGGCTTGGGCTGTGATGGTACTGGAACTAGGTTGATGTCAGAAGATCTTCAGATGTTTGTGTGTTGGCTTGGGGCTGTGAGGTTTGTAGTGATGATTGTACCCCCATTCAATAGCTTCTGAAAGATAATGGCATGCTTACTTTCAATTTTCATAAATATTACCAAGCTGCCTATCAAAATACTGTACCACAGCCCTAAATGGGACATGTGTATCACTCCTCTAAGGCTCAGGGAACATTGCAGAAGAATGTAAATGCCACAGGATGAGAAGGAGTGCTGTAAAACACTGTCTTTTGTACATGGCATGGCTGTTGCACCTATGAACTCACAACAGCTGTAGCTACTTGCACAAGCCTGGGCCCATCAGCATTCCAGCATGGATGCAAGAGGGGTTTCCAGAGTAGCTACGGACTATTAAAGTGTGTAAGGGGATAGAGAGTCATATTCATCATCATATTCTTCAGTGGTGGAGCCACTGGTACATTGCTCCCACTTGAGCAAATACTGCCTACACACACACACACACACACACACACACACGCATGCACACACACGCACGCATGCACACACACACACGCACACACGCATGCACACACACACGCATGCACGCATGCACACACACACACATGCACACACACACATACACACACACACGCACGCACGCCTGCACACACACACACGCACACACACACGCACACACGCACACACACACACGCATGCACACACACACACGCACACACGCATGCACACACACACGCATGCACGCATGCACACACACACACATGCACACACACACATACACACACACACGCACGCACGCCTGCACACACACACACGCACACACACACGCACACACGCACACACACACACGCATGCACACACACACACGCACACACGCATGCACACACACACGCATGCACGCATGCACACACACACACACATGCACACACACACATACACACACACACGCACGCACGCATGCACACACACACACGCACACACACATGCACACACACAAATGCTCAGGCAGGGAACCCTAATTTAATGCAATGGGTCACAAAAAATAGAAAGTAGTAGGGAGTCTTGGAAAGAAGGGATTTGGTGGGAGGTGGACTGGGCGTAAAAGAAAATAGTGAAGTTTTGATCAAAGAGCAATATATATATATATATGTAGAAAAATAAATAAATTTTTAAAAAGTGGTAACAAGATATCTTTTAGCAGTGTTTGAGACAATTTTGTGAACACTATCTCGATTAATCTTCAAATAATCTTGAAAGTCAATCTTGAATGTAGGTACTATATGGCATAGATGCTAATGTAAATGATGATTCTTTCTCTTTGGAAGGTGGCTATACAACACTGTGGCCCTGAATCCACATTTTTCTGAAGCAAACACTGAAGTTGGGGAGAGTGTCACTTACTTGCTCTGAGGGTGGAGAGCTGATGAGTGCTAGAGCTGTAATTTGCCTGAGTTGTCTGATTCCAGAACCAGTGGTAACTGGTTCCATAGCTGTCTTGAGGGCCTTAAGTCCGTGTAGCCCTTAGAGAGAGAGGGAAGGATGCCCTCAGGTACAGCTGTTGCTACCATGCCTGGGGCCAAGCAGAAGTCCTGCAACATGAATACTGTCCAGCTGTGCAACCCTCAGGCCTGTCAGGAACTTTCAGTGAGAAGCAGTCTCAGGAGGCAGAAGAAATCAGCTAATTTGGTTCAGAAAAAGGCATCGGAGAAACAAATTGCTGCTCCATCATGAATGTAATAAGACAGTTAGGTGGGTGGAAATAATTCTCCTTTGATTATATGGGTGAGGAGTATGTGTAGCAAATGTAAAATCCAGGCTGCTTTTCATTGGCCTCCTCCTCCCGCTAACCATACACTTCTTGTCTCCAAACTGTCCAGCTGGTGTGTGCTTGGGGAACACTATTCTAACTTTAACATTAGCCCAGGCAAAACAGAATTAGGGAGAAACTCTTCTGCCAAAAAATAGCATGTCAATGTCAAATAGAGATGCTTTGCATATCTACTATTTTCTTATTTGCATCAGGATTGACTCATAATTACATTGTACAATTTGACTATACTGCCAAAGATGATAGAAAAAAAAGTAACTGAAATTTCATTTATTTTTCTCTTTCCTTTATCTCCAAATTTGGACAGATACACTTTCACTGAAAGGAAAAAGACTGGATTTTCATGGAGAAGGTGACACACGTGTAAGCCTGACCAACGTCATTCCTGAACTCAGCCGACTCACAGCATGCATTGATCTCATATCCATGGGTCACAGCTCAAGTTATTGGATGGCTTTCTCTTATATTACTAATAACACCCTCCTGGGCAGAGAAGACATAGACCTTGGAATTGCAGGAGACCATCAGCAGCTTATACTATACAGCTTGGGCAAGACCTTTGATATCAGTTATCAGCTGATTCCATTTCAGTGGCATACAGTATGTTTGACATGGGATGGTGTGAAGGGCAGATTAGAGCTCTTTCTGAACAAAGAAAGGATATTGGCAATAATGGATCAGCCACACAACCTGTCTGCTAATGGGACTTTGGTCTTAGGGTGCTTGCCCAAGAATGGAGAGGGACAGATTAAAAGTGTGATATCTTGCTTTACCGGCAGCTTATATTACTTTCAACTCTGGGACCACATCCTGAAAAATGAGGAGTTTATGACGTGCTTACATGGAAATGTAGTTAGTTGGGAAGAAGATGTTTGGATCATCCACAAGATAATACCAACTGTTGACAGGAGACTGCGGTGCTGTGAGTAACTTACAATTTTTTTTTACTTAGCAAGGGTAGAGTTGGTACAGTACTGCTCTGCTCGCAAGCAATGCTCAAATAATCCTTTCTTAGATCAAGGCTTTGTCTTCTCCCAAGGAGCCCAAGGTTCCTACAGTTTTGTTATCTGCTATTTGATGTAGAGAAAATACTGTTTTCTTTTACCTTTTATTTTGGTATAACTTCAAGCTCATAGAATCTTCATAAGAACAACAAAATCTGTAGATTCTTTTTCTAGAATCACCAATGGTTAACAGGTTCCCACACATATACTTTATCATTCTTCGTATCTTCATCTCCCTCTCTGTCTCCCATTGCTACACACACACACATACACACGCACACACACACACACACACCACCACCACCACCACCACCACCACCACCACCAGCCCACACCACCCCCCACACCACGCTACATCCCTTATTTGCTTCTAGGTAATTTAACAGTGAGAAGCAGGTATGATTCTTTTGTACTAATGTTTGCCTCAGAGATGTTTCCTAAGAATAAGACGTTATGTTAATCATATTACAATGATCAAGACCAGAAATTTTAACAATGATACAATATTAATATCTAATTCCTAACTCATCTTAAAATTTAGTCAGTCATCTTATTAATTTCCTTCATAACTATCTTTTGTTTGGTCTAAGACCCAATTCACAATTATGTATTACATTTAGTTTCTAAGTCTTTTTTACACTCTCAATCTTTCCTTGGCTTTCGTGACCAAGACATTCCTGGGATATAGTGCAATTACTTTGTAGAACATTCCTTAATTTCCGCTTGTCTGCTCTTTCTTCGTGGTTAGGTTCTGGCTATGTCTTTTTGGCAAGAATACAGTGTGTCACAACCGCAGACAATGGTGCCAATGTCCAATATTTGTGATGATAAGTTTGATCACTCGGTTCTGATGTTTGCCAGAGTTCATCAATGTAAACTTGTTATCTTTTTCCTTGTAATTTTAATTAATTTCTAAGGAGATGTTTTTAGGTTGTGTAAATATCTTCTTATCCAACTTTCACTCAAAATTTTGCATATATTGATGATTTTTATTGAGATCACTAACAACTGCAGTGGTGGTAAAATGACAGTATTAAAAGTTCCACTGTATTTATTGGCTTGTTTTCATTATAGTTTAAGGAAGTTTTTCTGTTCTTCCAAATTCATTCATTCATTAATTTGTATGGACATGAACTCGTGGGTTCTAATTTTATTCACTGGATTTCATTCTGTTACTGTTGTTTATTTTGATTCTGAAAATTGGTCCATATTTGAAAATTGGTACAAATTTGGTCAGTTTGGCACTTCTGTCTTTTTGACACATTCTATCATTCTTTGAGCATTTTTTTTTTGCTTTCTGGTAAAATAAAATGCTCCAGGCATAAGCATTCACACTTTTTTTCTGTTCTGCCCAATAATCAGTTATTTTCCCAAGGAACCATGATTCCTTTCAGTGACGAATAGTATTTATAAAAGAAGTCAATTCTCTTTTTATTACAATGATGTTACTTGAAGGACTCCTTGGAATGGAGTTCTTCAAAAGAAAACCCTGCATACTTGGAATTATGGTTCTTCTTCTCTCTAGGCATGAGAAGGAAATGTAGGGCCATTTTTCTCTGTACAATTCCACTTTTCCCTTGGTGTCAGTCTTTTCTACCACTACTGTAGACGGCAGCCCTGAGACTGGCATAATCAGTGACAATAGGATTTTTCATATTTCTAGAAGTGTTCACTTTTTTTTCATTTTTTCCTAGAGAGGTATTGTGTATTGTTCTTTTAATTGGGGGGGTCAGCTAAGGAGTAAAGGGGGTTAGGTCTGAATCTAAGAATGCTCTCACAGGCTGCAAGGATATGCTTTCCCCAATAGTCTGGATACGACTGGATTAATGGCAGCAGCACATTGCACTGGGTTTCTATTGCTCTGAGAGTAGACCGGTGCAAAGGAACATGAAAGCTACCTTTTTTTGTGATAGTAGCTGAAGAAACTGTTTTTTCTTCTTTTCTGAGGCCTTAAATATAAAAGAAAATAGATTTAGCTAACCCTAATTCCAAAATTGAGCTACAGATTGATAAATTAAGCCCGAGAAGCTCACACAATGTAATTAAAAATATTTTATTTATTTATTTATTTTTTTATGTGTATGCGTGTATTGCCTGCATGTAGGTAAGTGCAGCCATGTTGTGCAATGCCCTCAGAAGTCAGAAAAGGCTGTCAGATCCCCTGGGACTGGAGTTACGGAAAGATTGTAAGAATTAGAGGTGCTTGATGACCACAAGTAAACAGTCTTCCAGACAGCTGGTCATTTACTCATATGAGCTCACAGCAATGTTGACTGCATGCACAAGTCTTATGTGATCTCACACTGAACAAAAAAGTCCAGCATAGACATGCGGAAGCAGGCCACAAATCCCATTCCAACATAAGAAACTTAAAAATAAATTATTTATCATTTTTATTGTATGTGTATGAGTTACTGCCTGCATGTGTGTAAGTGCACTTGTGTCGTGCAATGCCCACGGAGGACAGAAGAGGCTGCCGGATCCCCTGGAACTGGAGTTATGGACAGTTGTTAGCTGCCATGTGGATGCTGGGATTCGAACCCGGGTCTTCTGCAAAGAACATTCAGTGTTCTTAACTGCTGAGCCATCTCCCTAGCCCCACACACAATGTAGTTTAAAGTAACTTTATCTAAGGAAACAGTAGTATGACCCCAATAAGTATACCAGCTTTATAGCAGCCTTTGAAAACATAATCAAACTTTTTCCCCCACCATCTGATGATAAACTACTATCTTAAGGTGGTATACAATCCTTATTTATTTTTTATCTTTTTTACACCTTAAAATATCTCATTCGTTATTTTTATTTTATTTTTTGTGCATGAGCATATTGTGTGCAGGTATGTAAATGAACCTGTGTTGTGTAATGCCTGCTGCAGTCACATGAGGGCATCGATCCCCTGGAACTGGAGTTATGTATGATTGTTAGCCACCATGTGGGTGTTGAGAACCGAACCCAGTTCCTCTTGCAAGAGCAGCCGGTGCTCTTAACCACTGAGCCATCTCTCTGGCCTCCTTTTGTACACTTTTAAATACACAATCCAGCCTCTTGGTCTGACTGATTCCTTGTGAATATAATACACAATATCTAATACAACAAACAGAAAAAAAAAACATGACCTAAAATGACAATTAGGCAAAAGAGTAGAAAATGTTCTTTCTACTGTTCAGGTTTCTTTCCAAATCCTGGAACAGGAAGTCCTAAAATGAACACCAGAATGGCCTATATGGAATTGGAAAAGCCTTTGAAATTGTCTACCCCACCCCCCAAAAAAAACAAGGTGGATTTTTTTCCTCTCTAAGGACATAGTCTTTAGTTTCTATCACATTCTAGTAATATGATTGATGACTTTTAATAAGTTCTTCCTATGTTCTAGGCATTTTATAGATAAGGAAAGAGAGGCTCAGAGAAGATAAGAAAATTTCTCAAGGTCACCAGTCTAGTAAGTAATGCAGCTGGCCTTTGAATAAATATATTCCTGGTTGCAAAGTCCATGCTCTTTGGACTCCCATGCTATGCAAGATTGTCTCTAGGAGATTCTGTAGCCTCTACAAGAACATGGGGCCTTTTAGAGGCTTCTGTTGAAGGGAATTTCTGGTGCTGATAACCCACCTAAAGGAATTAGGTGGCCAGCTTGATTCACTGCCATCCTTGTCACTAAAGAAGTGCAACATCATAGAATTTCTTTTATCTTGAGCACGTGACAGCTAGGAAAATGGTGGCAATGTATGAATAAATATGAATGATTACATGCTGAGCTCTAGCTTTTGTCTAATAAATTGATATTTATGATCCATAGAAGGATTATAACCTTTAAAAATAAATTTTAATGAGCACATTACTAGGTTACAAATCTCAATAAATCTATTTACACATACAAAATATATATACATATATATTTATATTCATGAGAACAAGACTTTGGGGAACATTTGCTGAAAAACCATGAACTCTACCTGGATTTAATAAACAAGTATTCACGACAGTTAGCAATGTCTCAGGAATATTTAAACAGAATGGTGATAAATAATAACAGTAAAGGTGCTAATCATTAGGCATTTATTTTTTGGGGAGTAAAGCTTTTTCCCTCTTTTTAAAAAATATAAAACAGGGGTTGGAGAGATGTCTCAGCTGTTAAGAGCACTGTCTGTTCTTGCAGAGGACCCGGGTTCAGTTCCCATATGGAGGGTAACAACCACTTGTAACTCCAGCTCCAGGGTATCTGACACCCTCTTCTGACCATCATGAACATTCCACATGAGTGCACTTAACACACATGCAGGCAATACACTCATACACATAAAATAAAAATAATAAAGTATTTAAAAATATATATAGCATAATACATATGGTTGTCAATAAAATAGATTTAAATAATGCAAAAGTGTAAAGTAAAAGTTACCTCAATTTTTCTTAGAAATGTCTATTCTTAAAGATATTTTATGGGGTTATAAGTGCATATATATGTGTGCATGCCATGTATAGTTTAATGGATAAAATACACATACCTACAGACATGTTGTTATACCACTTGATTTAACAGTATTATCATGGGCACAGAAGTATATTTAAATCTATTTTTAGAGTTGCCCATGTTTCCTGGTATAGATGCGGCATAATGTATTTAACTAGCCTACCATTGATGGCTATTTAAATTACTTCAGTCTCTGCAGCTACCGATAATGCTGCCAAAAATTTTGTTATGCATGTGCACATGGTGTACTTGGCACTGCTATTTCATAGGACACATTCTTATTTTCCATTATTTTTTATTCAATGTTTATGATGTTTGTACAGTATAATTTCATGGTATTTAAATCTCCTCCTCTATCTGTAGCCTCCTTACTGCTCCACTCAATTTGATTTTACACACACACACACACACACACACACACACACACAGACACAGACACACACA